TCTGTTTGCCTGTGGTGGACCAACACCTATTTCAAGTGGACCTCCGAGTGAGGTCCACTCACTCGAGATGCTGTCACAACTGCAGTCTCTTTCGAGGAACCCCAGCGTTCATACGTGCTGCCACCGCTCTTTAGAAAGCCCTCTCTGCCACCCCCCTTCCAGTATGTCAAACCCCTACTCCCACGTTTTAACAGAAAACCTTATTTCCCCGACCCCCGTCTCATACAGAGGGTCGCTCCCTCTTTTTCCTGTCAACACTGCTATAGGCCTCCTCCACCAAAGACGTCTTCCTCTTCTCTGTTCACTTGGCTCGTGGGACCGTCCATCCCCCAAGGACAGGGACTCCGGCTGCTCCACTTGCATGAGAAGACGGAGTGTCAAGATACGAGAGAGGGAACCCGAAGGGAGCGAGAAACAGGGGAGGGGCCCAGAAGTCGCCGGCGTCCGAGGCCGTACCTCGATATACTCTTCCTCGTCCAGGACCCTCTGTTTGCTCGTCGCAGCCCCAGCCTCTCCAGCCTCGCGCTTCCTCGAGGGTCTGGACGCGGCGGGGAGCAACAAGGACGAAACTGATGCGCCGGGTGTCTCCATCACTATCCCCGGAAAACGCTCGGGCGCCGTATGCGCGTCACAGGGTGGGCGGAACCGCACCATTTGCGCAGGCGTCTTCAATTGTTGGCCAATGGGAAAGCTGTGGATCTAGAAGGGCAGCCCGGGCTCCGTACAGACGTCACTAAAAAAATGCTAGACCTTATGGGAGTTGTAGTATTTGTTCTGCCTCCCCCGCTACTCATGCTTGTCAATGCTGTGAACACGACGGGGCGCTGTGGCGTTGGGGTTGGGGTGCGGGCTATGGAGCGTGTCCTTCATGCCAGAAATTCTAGCTCTGCAGGGCCCAAAGGCTTTAGAATTCCAATTTCCCACAAATAAGCACTACGAATGCTTCGAGATTATTCAACAAAAATACACTCCAGAAAAATTGCTTATATAGAATTTTTAACCTTTAGGCAAGAAAAGGGCCTTACAACAATTTTATTTTTATTTTTTGGAGACGGAGTTTCGCTCTTGCCCAGGCTGGAGTGCAATGGCGCGATCTCGGCTCACTGTAACCTTCGCCTACCAACAATTCTCCTGTCTCAGCCTCCGGAGTAGCTGGGATTATAGGCATGCTCCACTATAAAATTAGGCCCGGCTAATTTTATGCTTTTAGTAGAACTCCCGACCTCAGGTGATCCGCCGGTTTCGGCCTCCCGAAGTTCTGGATTACAGGCGTGAGCCACTGCATCCGGCCAAAACAATTATTTTTTATAGTTACCTAACAAAAAATAAGATAAAGAACAAGACAGTGGTTCAATTAAGAAATGTCTAGTTAAAAATTATTCTGCAAACCCAGCACTTTGGGAGGCTGAGGTGGGTAGATCACCTGAGGTCAGGAGTTCAAGACCAGCCTGCCCAACATGGCGAAAACCAATCTCTACTAATTATACAAAAAACAAAACAAAACAAAACAAAACAAACAAACAAACAAAAAACTAGGCCGGGCGTTGTTGATGCCTCTAATCCCAGCTAATCAGAAGACTGAGGCTGGAGAATCTCTTGAACCTAGAAAATGGAAGTTGCAGTGAGCTGAGATCGTGCCATTATGTTCCAGCCTGGGCAACAAGAGTAAAAGTCTGTCTCAAGAAAAAAAAAAAAAAAGATTATTGGGTCTCCAATGCCAGAGTGGGCTTCCTAGAAGAGGGATAATTCTCATTCAAGGCCAGGCACAGTGGCTCAGGCCTATAATCCCACGCGGGCAGATCACTTGAGGTCAGTAGTTTGAGAACAGCCTGGCCAACATGGTGAAACTCTGACTCTACTAAAAAAAAAAAAAAAAAAAAATACAAAAATTAGCTGGGCATATTGGTGGGTGCCTGTAGTCCAAGCTACTCGGGAGGCTGAAGTAGGAGAATTGCTTGAACCTAGGAGGCAGAAGCTGCAGTTAGCAGAGATCATGCCACTGCACTCCAGCCTGGGTGACAGAGTGAGACTCTGTCTAAATATATATATTACATATAATTCAAGTGGACAAGAAAATTGCCTAGGCATTTTTCAGGAATTTCTTCCCAAAAGGAGGATGTGAATTATGCCGGGAAAAATAAATTCTGCCCTAGAAAAATGTAGTACAGTTTTGCTTTCACAACATGCAGGCATCCCTTCATTCACTGGGAAGTGCAGTGTGCTGCTGCCGCCCTTGTAGAGGTGACAGTGCCATGGGGAAGATAAAGACACTTGTTAGATCATCCCACAAATAGGTGTAAAACTCCAGCTGTTGTCTGTGCAAGAAGAGTTTGTACTTGGGGAATCTTGACCTAATTCGGGAGGTCAGAGAAGTTCCCCCAGGCAGAAAGTGATTGCAGATTAAAAAGGTGAACAAACAGGCATTGGGCAGGTGGAAAGAGCATGTGCAAGGGCCCAGTGGTGGGAGGGAGCCAGGCAAGTTTGAAAGAAGACCTTTGGAAATGCAGAGTGCAGTGAGTTGTGAGATGTTGCCAGAGAGGCAGGGCCAGGCTTCACAGGGCCTTGTGGGATATGGTGAGGTGCTTTGTCTTTATTCTGAATTGAGAGGCAGGCTAGACACAGTGGCTCATCCCTATAATCCCAGCACTTTGGGAGGCCTACCATGTTTGAGGCCAGAAGTTCTGAGACCAGCCTGGCCAACATGGCAAGACATAATCTCTACCAAAGATTTTAAAAATTAGCTAGGTGTCGTGGTGCCCATCTGTGGTCCTAGCTACTCAGAAGGCTGAAGCGGGAGGGTTGCTTGAGCCCAGAAGCTGGAGGCTGTAGTAAGCCATGATCGCACCACTGCACTCCAGCCTGGGTGATGGAGCAAGACCCTGTGTCAAACAAACCAGCCAAGTGACAAACAAAAAAGCAGAGCCAGTGTGTGTGCAGGTGGACAAGACTGGACACAGTTGCAGTAGTCAAGGTGAGAGGTGACGGTGGCTTACATCAGACTGGTGCAATTACAGCTGGAGAGATTCTGGGATTTATTGATTTATTGATAAACGTAAAATTGGCTTGCTGTCAGCCTGGGTATGGTGGACGATCAGGAGAGCGAGCAGTCCAATGATTACTGGCTCCCTGGCTCACGTGCCTGGTTTGCACAGAAGAGCTCACTGGGAACATGTGACCGGTGGGCTTCCAGGTGGAGTAGTCAAGGAGACAGCTGGAGATAAACACCTGGCTCAAGGGAGGGGCCTGGGCTTGAGATGTAAATGTGGCAGAAAGATGGGAATCAGAGTCTGAGGGTAGAAGATAAACCAGAGAGAGGGTGAAGGTGAGAAGGGAGTCCCTGGGCGTGAGTCTGAAGGATGCCTATATTAACAGTCTGCTGTGGGGGTCATTCTGCCAAGGAGCCGATAGAGCTCAAGGAGCAAATTCAGGAGGGTGACACAGCCACTGAGCCCTGGAAGGTGATGCTCCAGAGGCTCTGATCAGGGCTTCTGATACAATGACGGATGGCCATTCAACGAAGGAGCACGAGGGGCCTGGATCCCGCGAGATGGGAGTGTCCCTGACTGCAAGGGAGCTGACCAGGACACTGGCATGTCCACAGGTAGTCTGCTCAGTCCCCAAGGGTAAGACCGGGGTTCAGGGAGAAGAGTTTTGTGACAATCAGCAGTGTGCAGGCTAGTGGTAGAGTCGGGAGCACCCATGCTAGGGACACCCAGGAGTCTCAGGGCAGTTCTGACTGGAGACACCAGGCTTGCTTGGTGTTATCCAAGCTGGCCAGCCTTGGGGTGTCCCGGGAGCTGCAGCCCTGGCTTCTGCAGCCCTGCTTTTAGAGATGGACTTTGTCTCTTGCAGGTAGAACTGCCCCATTCCCTCCGGGACCTGTAAGGAGACAGAACGGAGAGCTCAAGCCAGCTGAGGGGGATGTGAGATGCCTCGGACCCACTGTAGGGACTGCTTGGGGAATCACAGGCTTCTTTTCGTGGTGCCTTTTGATCTGAGCCAGGATAAAGAAGGGGAGGGCAGGCATATTCCCAGACAGCAGTGTGGGGGTCTCCCCAATCCAACCACCTCTTCCTCTACCCTAGGATGGCAGAGATTGCTGTACGGGAGGCCGACCCCGCAGCATAAAAACCCCAGGAGGAAGCCGGGGACCCCCACCCACGGGCAGGTTTGCAGTAGCCTAGAGGCCAAGGCTGGCCCCAGGCCGCCATCCATGGAGCAGTCTTCTCTGCTGGCGAGCACCCTCGTGCAGAGACTGAGGCCTCGACGAGCTGTGCTTCTCACAAAGACAGCTGTGCCCTAAACACCCCCTCCCTGGGAAGGAAGGAGAAGGACAGCTCTTTGCTGAGTGTGGGAGTGGAGCCAAGGTGGACTTGAGACTCTGGGGGGCTTCTGTGGTATCTGAAGTTGCCTGTTTGTTTCTCTGTATCAGCACGAGGCTCGAAGGTGAAGGGGCTGGGGAGGGGCTCCTGAAATCGCTCCTGCAACCTTCTTTTTCTACAGATAGGCCCAGCCCAGGGCCTGGGAAGCCTGCAACCCCAGGACTGCGCAGACACAAACCCCACCCCTCTTGCCGCTGGGGGAAGGCGGGTCAGGTCAAGTCGGGTCAATGTCCACGCTGAGAAGAGGGAGGCCAGCATGCCCCAGCGTGCGCAGAGAGGCTCCACAGCGGAGGACTGTGGGTCCCGGGTTGATGCGGAGTGGTTCCCCTCCTGGGGTGGAGTTAGTGCCTCTTGGGGTGGTGGGGGGTGAGGAAGCTGCTCTACGCCCCAGCCCACCCCCAAGGGACTCGTCACTCCCACTGCCTTGGAACACCAAGCACCGGGGACCCTGTCCCCAACGCTACAGCGGCACAAGCTGCAGGAGGCAAGGAGCTGTGGAGACGAGCGGAGGAGGCGGGTGTCTTCTCCCAGCTCCTTTTCGGGTACATCTGTCCTCTCAGCGCCAGCTTCCAAGATCCCAAAGAGGGTGGCCGAGCCCAGGGGCAGCTCCCAGAGTCATCAGCAGCTCCCCTTGGGGGACTTCTTGACGCTAGGCAGGAGCCTCGCGGAAGCCGATGCGCGCTTCTGGTGTCGCCATTTGGCCCGGCGGTTCTTGAACCAGACCTGGTGGGTCGGCGGGGGGGGGGGGGGGTTACTCTCAGCCCCAGTCCCAGGTCCCACGGCCCACCGGCTCCCTAGGGTCCCACAGGGCCCGGGAGGGGAGCTTCGAGACAGGGGTGCGGGCGGACGCCTGTGCGTCACCTGCTGCTATCCGCTGCGTACACTCGGTGGGCTTGGACGTGGCTTGGGAATCCCCTTTGTACCCGCCCCAGCCCCTGCCGGGCGGCGACCAAAACGCCCTTTCTTGGGTTCTGGGGTCTTCCGAATTTCCCAAATAACGGACGTCAACGCGCGCCACTTTCGTCATCAGGAAAACGGCAGGGGAAAGGGTAAAACAAAAGAAAAGGAGCCCTCCTGTCCCATTCAAGCGCCATCCGCCCGCCTTCACCCGCTCCTGGTCCACTGGACGCCCAGAGTCTTGCCGGAGTCTCCTCCTCTGACGCGTGGGGCTGTGCTTGGGCCGAGGCGGTCTTTGCAAGAGCGCCCGCCTGCCTGGACCCCCGGGACCCCAGTGCAGCGCAGCCGCGGCCCGCGCGCGCTGAGTACAGGCTGGGCGGGGTACCCACCTCCACGCGCTCCTCGCGAAGGCGGATGCGGCCGGCCAGGCGCTCGCGCGTGCCCACGTCGGGATACTGATTCTGCACGAAGAGCGCCTCGAGCGCCTGCAGCTGCTCCTCGCTGAAGATGGTGCGGTGGCGCCGCGTGCGCCGCTGCGGCCCGGGGCCGACCGCGCCCGGCAGCGCCCCGGAACCTCCGGCTGGCACGCCCAGGGGCAAGGGCACCTGCGGGACCCAGCCTCAGCGGCCACGCCAGCCGCGTACCTGCGGGGCGAGGGCGCGGTGAGGCGCGGGGCGAGGGCCAAGATCGGCACCCACTGCGCCACGCCCAGGGGTCCCCAGCTGGGCCCGCGCCCCTCCCCTTGCCCACTCACCCAGCCCGGCGGCCGCCTCCGGGGGCCCGCAGGGCGCCGCGCGGGCGCCGCCGCAGCAGCAGCAGCAGGCGCAGGGCGCAGTATCCGGCAGCCCGTGCTCCTCCGGCTCCGCGGGGCTCTGGCTACCGGCGGGCTGCGGTGGGCAAGCGGCCCGGGCCGGGGGGCTCCGCTCGGGCAGGCTGGAGAGGATGTGCTCAATGGAGAAGGGGCAGGGCCGCCCGGGGCCCCTGAGGCTCGCCGCGCCCCCAGCTGCCGCCATGCCCGGCCCGGCCACTGCCGCCGCCGCTGCGGGAATATATACGTCGAGGGGAGCGCGCAGTAATCCCCAGGCCGGGCGCCCAGTCCACGCGGGTTAATCCCGCAGCGCCGGCCGCGAGCGCGCTAATCCCCGACTGCGACGGCTCTGCCTCCGCGCGCGGGGGCCGGGGGAGCTGCGGGGAGGGTGCCCTGTGCCCCCGCCTGCGTCCTCCTGTCCCACCCCGACTCGCCGCTCACGCGGGCAGGGCGACTTGCGGGAAAAGGCGGAGGGCCGTCTCCCCGCCGCCTGCGGGACATGGCAGTAGCCCAGAGGGCACCCCGACCCTGGCAGCTGCACAGAGCGCGACGGTGCCTCCTGGCCCAGCCTCTGGTGGCTCCCCCGCGTTCGGCCGGGCCTGGTTCTTCGTCCACTCTGGGGTCCTACCGTGGCGGTTCGGCATGCCTGGAGAAGCCCAGCCTAGCCTCGCACTCGAAACTCCTGGACCGCAGCCTTGTGGTGCCCAACACCACTTGCAAACCCGCGTTCCCGCCGCACTCGCGGGCCGGAACCCGCCCGCGTCCCGAACCGGCCAGCCACCTCGGAGCCAGGGTCTCTTGGCCCTGGAGGGCGTGGGAACGCGGCAGGAAACCTGGGCTGCCGGGAGCCCCCAGTTCTCGGTCTCTTCACCTGAGTCAATGAGACCTCCCTGGCCCCTTCGGAGGCCCCTCCTCGGTGCTCCGGAGCCGCCCGTCTTCCGGCTTTCCCACTGGTCCCAGAATCCCGGCGAAAACATCCAGCACGGAACCCCGCTGTTCCCTGCACTGTCCCTGCCCCCCAGGAGCTGTCTCAGGTGGGCTCCCCTCCTCGCTCTCTGCCCAGTCAAGTCCTACTCTGATCACAGCGTCCTCGGTCCCTTCTGCCACAGCGCTGGTGACCCGCACTTGGCTACATTATTGCACCCTCGGTGAAGCGGCTCGGGACAGCGGGACGGTCACTTCAGCTTAAGACCCTCTTCTCTTGCCCTCCGAAAATACGGTATGGGACTCATGGCACTGAGAAACAGACGGACTGGCTCCTACCCAGTTGTCACTTTCTGACCGTGTGGCCTCCACAGGGGCCTTCAGCCTCTGGGCTTGTCTTTTGAACCGGAGGCGCTCTGCAGGCTCAGTGGCCAGGTGTGACACGGTTAGAACCTGGCCGCCCCGCAGGGCGACGTACATTCCTGCGCTCCTCCCGCCACCAGCCCCTCTGCAAGACTTTGCCATTCCCACTCTCCGTCAGTGAAAGTGCTGTGGACATCACGTGACAGAACCTGCCGATTTAGTTTCTGTCACGAGAGCTCCCACATAGGGTTCCCAGGGGTTGTTAGTCCCAAAGCTCAGTGATGGAGCCACCACCTCCGGGAGTGGCTCTGCCAACCCCCGTCCCCACTCCACCCCCAACATCCTGGTGCCAAAATGGCTGCCACAGCCCCACACATTTCATCTCCTCCCAAGTTCCTTTGGACATCCATGGGTCCCTCCTCCCCCAGCAAACCTCCCTCACAGAACTGCATCTGGGTCATTGGTCAGGAGAGCCACCCTAACATTTGCTGAGCCCTCTTCCTCTGAGCCCTGGCCATTCCTCCATCTCTTCCCATTCTCACCCTTGAGGCCTCCTCCAGCCCCGGCACTCCAGGCACCGTCTTTGTGACAGTGACTCACAAGTGCACCTCCAGCCTGGCCTCTCTCTCTGCTCCAGGCTCATGTTTAGGGAGCCTGCTCCACATCTCCATCTCCACCAATAAAGGTCTCCCAGTCACTGCGCCAGAAGGGAACTCAAGGTCTTCTCAAAATCCCTCTCTTGCCCTGTGTTCCCCACCTTTATAAATGGGTCACTGCCCACCTGTCCACTTCCAGTGTTCATTCTCTTCCACCTATCTGCCTCTGTGTGTGCCCTGCCTCCTCACCAGTCTATCTTGGTAAATGGCCCACTGTGGCACTTTTTCAAAAAGTTTACTTTCTATTTTGTATTATTTTTTGAGACAGGGTCTCGCTCTGTCACCCAGGCTGGAGTGCAGTGGTGTGATCACGGCTCACTGCAGTCTTGGCCTCCTGGGTTCAAGTGATCCTCCTGCCTTAGCCTCCCAAGTAGCTGGGACTACAGGTGTGCCACCACGTTCAGCTAATGTTTCTATTTTTTTTTTTTTTTTTTTTTTTTTGTAGAGATGGGGTTTTGCCATATTGCCTAGGCTGGTCTCAAACTCCCAAGCTCAAGCAATGTGCCTGCCTCAGCTTTCCAAAGTGTTAGGATTATAGGCGTGAGTCACTGTGTCTGCCTGGCCTGTCCCCCTCTCCCCTCCACTTTTTTTTTTTTTTTTTTACACTTTTGAAACAGGGTCTTGCTCTTTTACCCAGGCTGGAGTGTAGTGGGTGACCATGGCTCACTGCAGCCTCGAACACCTGGGCTCAAGAGATCCTCCCACCTTAGCCTCCTGAGTAGCTGGGAACACAGGCACATGCCACCACACCTGGCTAATTAAAAAAAAATTATAGATAGGGTCTCAATATGTTTCCCAGGCTGGTCTAGAACTCCTGACTTCAAGCGATCCACCTGCCTCAGTCTCCCAAAGCTCTGGGGTTACAGGTGTGAGCCACCCTGCCTGGCCACTGTGGCACTTCTGAAACATGCCAGCAGGTTCTCTGACATTCCTCCCTTTGGGAGTTTAATTGGATTCCTTCCTGAACATGGGCTAACCTTAGCGACTTGCTTCTAATCCACAGAATGCAGCAGAACTGACATTGTGTGGTTTCTGAGGCCAAGTCGTACGAGGAGTCACATAGATCAGATCTGCAGATCGATAACTCAGCTCCTTCTCTCTCTGTCTATCTTGGGATGCTTGCTCTTTGCACCCAGCCACCATGCTGTGAGGGGCACGGGCAGCCTCGGGAGAGGACGGGAGTGTTCCAGCCAGCAGCGCCAGCTGTAGGACCCATCCACACCCAGCATGGGGCACCTATGAGTGAGTGAGGAAGCCTTTCAGATGGCTCTGGACCCAGCCACCATTGAACTGTAACCACAGGAGGTACCAAAACTGAGAATCCCCTCCCTGAGCTCAGTCAAGCTCCATGACTCTGAATGAGGTGGTTTGTTACATAGCTACAGATAAGCAGAATGGGATCTGGTACTGGAAGTGGGGTGCTGCTGATACAAAACCTAAATCATGTGACGTTGGCTTTGGGACAGGGCAGTGTTGGGGAGCTGGGAGGCTCTTGCAGAGGACTGACATTGGGGACTTAGAGGAAAGTGAAGAAAATGTTACTGGAAGACAGAGGAAAGGAGACCATTGTTATGTAGTGGCAGGAAGTTTAGCAACACTGTTACCTGCAGCCAAAAAGGAAACAGAAGCTACACAATGCACCCGGGAACAAGTTGATCTAGCTAAGGAGAGAAGGTTCAAGGTGCTGCTTGGTTTCTTCTAGCTACCAACAATAAAAAGAAGATATGATTCAAAAAACAAGATTTAGGGCAGGGCGCAGAGGCTCACTCCTGTAATCCCGATGCTTTGGGAGGCTGAGGTGGGAGGATCACTTGAGGCCAGAGTTCAAGACCAACCTGGGCAACATAGTGAGATTTCCATCTCTCCAAAAAATTTGTTTTTCTTTGAGATGGAGTCTTGCTCTGTCGCCCAGGCTGGAGTGCAGTGGTGCAATCTCTGCTCACTGCAACCTCTGCCTCCTGGGTTCAAGCGATTTTTGTGCCTCAGCCTCCCGAGTAGCTGTGGTTACAGGTGTGTGCCACTACACTCAGCTATTTTTTTTCTATTTTTTAGTAGAGACGGGGTTTCTCCATGTTGGCCAGGCTGGTCTTGAACTCCTGACCTCAGGTGATCCACCTGCCTCCGCCTCCCTAAGGGCTGGGATTACAGGCATGAGCCAAAGCGCCCGACTACAAAAAAACTGTAAAAATTAGTTTTGGTGGTGGCGCGTGCTTGTGGTCCCAGCCTGAGGCGCGCGGGGGCGGGGGGGTGGTGTTGCTTCAGCCTGGAAGTTGAGGCTGCAGTGAGTCATGATCATGCCACTGCACTCCAGCCTGAGCGATACAGCAAGACTTTGCCTCTAACTAAAACAAAACAAATCCCAGTACATAAGGGGCTGCTTCACAGACCATTTCCAACAGACCAGAGTCTAGCTGCAGGGCTGCCAGGGCATGGAGTTCCTGACAAACTCAAGGACGGGGCTTCCAGGTTCAAGGGAGGGGCATCCCTGTGTGCAGGGATGGAGAGGAGCTGGAGCTCAGAAACCGCCCACCAGGCCACCCACTTGTTAATCCCACACCCACCCACCTCTCTTAGAATGGCAGTCTTGGAATTCCAGCCCAAGACGGGGATTCAGGCACCAGGGCTTCCTGAGGTGGCGGGGGAGGGCAGGGGACACAGAAGCTGTGGAAGTTCCCCTGCAGCCCACAGAGGGTCACGGTGCACAGTCTTGCCGCTCCAAGGTGGCACTAGGCCAATGCTCCAGAGAAGGGGCCAGCTGTGAGTGACCTTCTCATGTCAGCTGTGGGTGGAGGGCTCCAGGTGGGGCTGAGGGCAGTTCCCATAGCCCTGCCGAGCTCCATTCTCCTGGCTTCTTGGGCTAAGTCCACTCCATTCAGATGTGGGGGACAAGAAGTCTGATTGGTCGCAGCTGCTGGGCAGGTGTACAGGAGGAAGGATGGCGGGGCCAGCGGCCACCACTGCTGTGTGAGTTGGTTCTGAGACTGTCACTGAAGACTGTGTTCTCCCTTTTCCTCCCCTTTTCGGGGCTCCCTCTCCCAGAGCCAGAAGCCCTTCTGAAGGTCTGGGTGGCTCACCTGGTGGGCTGATCCAGGTCCTCCTCTGGGGCTCTGAGCCCCCTGGGTGCCAGCCTGTGGCAGGCTGCAGTGCTCCAGTGGCCCTTTCACAGGGAGAGCTGGGCATGGAAGCATCACAGGGCACCCAGGGGATCCCTGGAACATGCAACATTCCTCCCAGTCCCCAGTATGAGCTGGGTTGGGCACCT